AGCAGAGCTACTGCAAGCGATTTTTAGTGCTGCAAATCCATTTATCCTTTGCTGAAACTTCCGCGTCTTCATGGACAGCACAGGTCAAGGTTGCTTAGCAACGGCAGACGCCTCCGGAGCGCAAGCGCCCGAACGCTTTGGGAAAAAGCAGAAAGCGGCACGCCTAGCGTTTTCCACGCGTTTTTAGGCGCGATATGTAAATGGCCCCTAAAAAACCGTAATAGCACATGCAGCGGCAGCAGCGACAGCCTCCCCCCGGGTCCTAATGCCCGTTCGGTAAGGAGTTTTAATTCCGTAGGGGGCGCTGTTGGTCTACTTCTAATAAAATGAAGTACTGATGAAAATGAAGAGACTGTTTCTGATTAAATAAAGCAGTAATTGATGCCATAAAATCATGAGTATGTTTTGATTTAAAGGTCAGAAGCTATAGCTTACATTCACAACAACAAAAATTTCAAACACTTAAATCAGTATATATAAAATTATATAATTTATTCATTAATGTGTAATATGTTCGATTTTTTAAACAAATTATGAGCTCTAAACTATTTTCAGAATTTTTACAACTCTTTTGCTTTAAACCATCTACAAATTTTAAATCTTAAAATAAAATGTTTTCAACTGCATCTTTCTAAAAAAAAAATGCAGTGATTAATATATAGTTTATTTATTGTTATTTTCAAATCTTCAATGTACTGTCATTATAAAATAACTTTATTATTGTTTATTTAATTCTAACAAATAAGTTCTTGTTAAAAACTATCCAAAATGAAAAATAATTATATATCGGTTATCGGCCAAAATGAGTTGAAAATTATCGGCATATCGGATATCGGCAAAAATCCAATATGTGCATCCCTAATATACAGTATATATTATCTGCATATACAGAATATCGCACTATTGAGCCACTCAAAATTACCGCAAGGGTAATTCCCTCACCACGACAGCCCTAATTGACACCAAACTTTGTGTGTCACCATGCACAGAACACACCACATATATTTGATAACAGCGCCACTGGTCAAAAGCGGGTGTGCCTCACACGTCCTGAAAAGTGAAGCTGAGGGCTCTTTGATCGCACCCTGGTCGCTGGCTGCAGTACAGGTCATAAACCCCGACCTCTCCATGTAAACAAATGGGACTTGAGGCTCCACCTCACGACACTACTGCGCAGACTCTGGCTCCAAACAAGTCTTTACTGCGCAGACTCTGGCTCCAAATGACGTCATTTACTCAAGATGGCAGCGGCCATACTGAGATGCTTTGGCTTCACTTTTCTATAGTGGAGGGAATAGGAGACACGTCGTCCATCTTTTTTTTTTTTTACAGTCTATGGTCAAAAGTGATAAGCTAATAAATCATATTACTAGTGGTGGTTTTTATGCTTTTTCAGCCATTTTGACTAAAATCATCTTTAAATGGTTTAAATTACTCATTGCTAGAGTTGGTCTGATGCTCCATGCCATTCTTAGCTCCTCATTTTGCCTCTGTAGCTATATTTGTACATTCTTTTATAATTGTGCTGTACAGTCTATAGCCTTATTTATTGTCTGTGGTTATATGTTTGTTTTCAAACACCTAATTTTATTGTATGCAGAATAATACAATGACAATAAAGGCTTTCAATTCAATTCAATTCAATGGCAAAAACAGAAAGCCCAAAAAGCAAACAAAATTTTCCTAAAGCAAATACAATCAGCAGACTATAAATGTTGTTGATAAAATCTAAAAAGTAAAAATAATATTAATAAAAAGGTACATTCGATCAATAATTACTCCTAGCAAAAGTAATACATTTCTGAAAGTAAAAATGAAAACCAATGAGATGGATCTCAAGTAGGCATGGGTATCACTACAAGGCTATAATGGTATTACTATTCTTATGACACTGCACATCAGTCCAGTTCTTTAATGGTATTCATTTTTGTTGTCGTTTGTTTGTTTTTCAATGAAAAAAAAAAAAACCTGAATGGCTTTATGGTATATGCAAATACAAAGCATAAAACTTTATTTAGATTTCGTGAGCACTTTGTCATCTGTAATACATGTCGAGGATCTCATCCATCTGATGTTCATCATGTTCATCTTGTTTGCTACTGTAATGTATATGATATATAACTTTTTAAAGGGGTCCTATTATGCTTTTTCACTTTAACGAGTGTTATCACTATGTCGGAGATGCTAGCTTTCCCAAGGCAGATGAACTTAAGAGTGGTTACAATCATCCGGGTTTAAATCGCGCTCAAATTGATTTGATATTGACACAATATTTACACTGAAGGTCACACCCCTATGGTAAGGGGCATAACATTTCCCAACCAGGCGCCGAGTGGTGCCAATTACAACACACACTGGCCCAGCTAACCAATCACAGCACATTTCGTATTTCAGAAGGCGGGCTTTCATTTGATACAGGGCCTATTCGAGCCATTCATGCGAGACTGGGGAGAGAGGTGTTGTAATAATGTAAAATATGTGAAAAATAATGTGTTTTTCGAACAACCTAGTATGAGAGCCTGTTCTAGTACACCCCCAAAACAAAATCAAGACTTGTAAAAGAGCATAATAGGACCCCTTTAATATGCAGGGTTAATTCCCAACATTAAACAAATAACCATTTACATGCAGGACATTTGCGTTGTATGAATGTGCAGTGAGACTTCAGATATGCTGACTCGTTAGGAAATGTTTTCTCATTAAAATCGTACACTATTCTATTAATTCAATAGAATGTATGGGAGCTCTAGGGAAAGCAATATGGCGGCGCGGTCCCAAAATTGAGGGGAGATGCGGGGGGATGGCATTGAAAAAATATGACAAAAAGCATCCCCTCTGTAAAACCACCATCCCCCCTAACCATCCCCTTTAGATAACAATGTTGTGTATTATGTAAAACATGTAGTGCAAATTAAATGCTAAAATTATCTGCTTATGATAATTCACGAACTAAATAATGGCGATTGGCTACAACAAGCTGCACACAAGCTGAAGCAAGTTTCTGTCATTTTCCACGCAAAATGTTTCAAGCGCAACTTTTTAAATTCTTTAAAAAGAAGACAACAGAAGTTATGATTTGTCCTTGATTAACGTTAAAATTTAAAGACATTACCCTGAAATAATGTTATTGTGCTGTATGTGTGACTGTGAGGGACTAAGAGACAATAGGAGAGCTGGCATTATCGAGACCTATGTCACTGACTTTGCAAAAAAGTATTGAGTCCAAAAGCATTCACTGTGCGATGAAGCCTATTAGAATGCAGTTAGAATGCCCTTATAACTCAAGCAATGAAAGAAAACATACCCATATATGAGTTTTTGTTTTTATATTCATTGCACAAGCAATGTACTTTTCTGAATATTAGCACATGTGCGTGAGCACAAATGTGCCATTAATTTTATACAACAGTGCAGAGCAACACCGTGCTTCGCTGCTTGAATGAATCTGTTTTTGAATTAATCAAGTGAGCCAGTGATTCAACGGTCCATTCAGATGGACTCACTTGTTTAGTTTCTAATTGAATCAGCCGTTTTGAATGAATCCTTTGATTTGAATGATTCAAAAAATCATTTATTAAAACAGGGACTTGCTGCCATCTACTGGCGGTTTTATTGTCATCTTAATTTATCCATGACAGGTATAAACCAGATGCCAACACAAAAACACATTCAGCAAAATAGTTTAATTATCAATATTGGCCAAAATCCCTCCATTTCAGGCACCAGAAGAAAAAAAAACATAATAAATAATAGTTTAAGGCAAATTTTTCATTAAATAAAAACCTTCGAACCCGTTTTACATACATTCTAAATCATAGACATCTTAAAGACATGTAATAAACGTCTATTTGATATCTCATAGGAAACGTCCCATAGACGTATTGCAGATGAGCAAACACTTTCAATTTTCAATCATGTCCAGATTGACAAAGACAGTGTAGACTAATGACGAGTTCTCAGAGTATACCAAGATTCAGCGGGAATGCTAGCGGGAAATGGACATTTTTAAAATTTAGTACCGACTGGTACCAAAGTCAGTACTTCTGACAACACTCTGTCTCAAAGGTAGGGTTGGGCGATGTCTACAGTGAAACATTGCGATGGACGATGACATCGGGAGGGGGGGGTGAATCCATATTCAGAAAGGCACGGAAAACAAATAACGTGTTCTATGAAGCCATTAATGGGACATGGTTAGCCGCTTGCTAGCGGTAGCCTGTTACATTACAGTGCATAAAATTTCACTTACCACATAAACCGAGAAAGAAGAGATGACTGAGGATGATGGCGAATGATTTCCAGATCTGAGCACCACTGACAAACATCTAATCTTGTAAAATGTGTAGTAAATACTGCTGCTCCGTAGCATACACAGAGCATATGTGATCGCGAATCTCGAAAGTGAAAGTAAAAAGCAAGCACGCATTCAAAAGCCATTTCAATGCCCCGCATTTTAATAACTGCTCCCTGATGCCCACAATTTATATACAGTATAATTACTCAATGATATAACGGCAAGAGAAAGTATTGAAAAAAAAAAGTTTTCCTCCCATCTCATATTTATTCCCTTTAGCGGTTCCATAGTATAGCATTTCCATAGCATTTCCTTTCCGAACACTGTATTGGGATGCGGTGGATTGTGGGAGATGGGGTGGGGGGAGGAATCACTATGCCAGCTCAACATCATGATGTCTGTCAGCCATAGGACCAACTCTATCTCAAGGCTTCTTTTACACGTGAAAGCATTTCCACACTAAGGACAGGTGAAAGACTTTTCTGAAGTGTGAATGCGCACATGCACATTAAGTTGTTTTTTTTGTGTGAAACTCTTTCCACACTGAGAGCAGCTGAAAGGCTTTATTCCAGCATGATTTAACATGTGATACTTAAGGGTTTCTTTACGTGTGAAAGTGTTTCCACACTGAGAGCAGGTAAAAGGCTTCATTCCAGCATGATTTAACATGTGATTCTTAAGGGTTTGTTTACGTGTGAAAGTGTTTCCACACTGAGAGCAGGTGAAAGGCTTTACTGATGTGTGAAGCAGCACATGCCAATTGTGTTGTTTTTCCTGTGTAAAACTCTTTCCACACTGAGAGCAGATGAAAGGCTTTATTCCAGCATGATTAAGCATGTGATTCTTAAGGGTTTCTTTACGTGTAAAAGTGTTTCCACACTGAGAGCAGGTGAAACGCTTTGCTGAGGTGTGAATAAGAACATGCTCATTGAGTAGTTTTTTCTGTGTAAAACTCTTTCCACACTGAGAGCAGCTGAAAGACTTTATTCCAGTATGAATTTTCATGTGATTCCAAAGGCTTCCATTATGGCTGAACATGCTTCCACACTGAGAGCAGATGAAAGATTTTTTTCCCGTATGGTTTAGCATGTGATTCTGAAGGCTTCTTTTGCGTTTGAAAGTATTTCCACACTCAGAGCAGGTGAAAGGCCTTTTTCCAGTATGAACATTTATCATGTGTTCGTCAAGGTTTCTTTTCTGTTTGAAACTCTTTCCACACTGGGAGCAGATGAAAGGTTTCATTTCAGTATGAATTTTCATGTGATTCCAAAGGCTTCCTCTATGGCTGAAAGTGTTTCCACACTCAGAGCAGGTGAAAGTCTTTACTCTCTTATGAATTCTCATGTGATTCTTAAGGTATTTTTTACGAGTGAATGCGTTTCCACACTGAGAGCAGCTGAAAGGCCTTTTGACCTCTTTTCTTTGAATGTTGCGTTGCGAGCAACTGTTTTCAGTTTTGGAGCAACTCACAAATTTTTCTCCAGTGACATCATGCGCTTTCTGATCCTGATGCTGATGCTTCTCCTCCACTTCATTCAGATCTTGTCTTTCCTCTTTCACTTTCATCGGGCCTAAAATTAAAACATTAAAGTGATGAAAATCAATTGGGACATTTGGAAAACAAGAAGAACTTAGGGTCAACACGATTTTCTTTTTTTTTTTTTTTAAGTTTGCATTTTCAGGCAAAATTTGCCATTGTTCTGTAAATGAATGGGCAAAATGCATAAAAAGCTTTTTTTTTGTTTGTTTTATTTGAAAATTGTATTGTAGGGCTACCCCCTAATAGTCGACTAATCGTTAGTCGACCAGAAGAGGCTTGGTTGACCAAAATTTTATTAGTCGCAGAAAAAAAAAATCCACAGGCGAAGTCATGCAGTCTGTGACTAACAGATCATTAATGGCTAGTCTATGGTAATAAAGTACACCAGGCAGGACATCCAAACGCTCGTGCCTATCATTCATCGACCTCAAATATGGCTTATCTTAAATATGTAAGTATTAGCAACTTTACATGGCCGCTCAATCTAATGTTAACCTAGAGAAATGTGCGCTCTTGTGACTGTGCGGAGCGTGGAGCTGAACAGTAGCGCGCTCACTGCAGAACAGATGGAGGCGCATATGCGCTCACTTGCTCTTAAAATGGGCTACTCCGTCATTTTTGGTCATACAGATAAGAGTATTACATCTTTCAAATCTGTAAAGACTGTTTATTTGTGTGCACTCACAATAAAAACAAATTGCGCTTTTGTGAAATAATGAAAGCAAACAGGATGCGCTTTCTGCCGTCTCGGTCTGTGAACTTGAGTGCGAAACTCCGTGTATATCTTTACCTTACAGACATAAAAAATATATCTATAGAGATTGAAATGTCTACTTTCAAATGAATCAATTCAAATGGAAGACAAATATTCTCAGATTATGTAATCCGTATTAAACTTGCATACAGGCACATCCTCTACTGAGATGACGAGTCAGTGTCACCGACCTCATCTCTTAAACCGAAAACAAAAACAGTTTTTCAAAATTTTGATAAAATATTAAAATGTTAATGCAGTCTCCTTACAGTTTTCCACTGACACATTCATAATCATTACTTCTGCCGGTGCGCTGTGGCAAGCTTTAGCGCACGCTTGAGCGTTTATTAGGCTATAGGCAATTAAAGGCTCATAATAACGATTTAAATGGTTTATTAATAAACGTGCGATTAGTCAACTAATGCTTCAAATGAACGACTAGTCGACCAGAAAAATCCTTAGTCGAGGACAGCCCTAGTGTTTTGTAAACACCCCCTTCAACTTAACCCCAGTTAAACATCATTAATGAGGCATATACACGACACCGTTTTCAACTAAAAACAGAAAACCTGCGCACTTTGGATGCATTTACACAACATCAGCATTTGTGGGGGCCTTAAAGGGCTAGTTCACCCAAAAATGAAATTAGCCTGTGACACTGAAAATTCATTTATCACGAAGTCACAAAGCCACACATAGAACTGGTGCAAGTGAAGGAGCACAAGCAGAACATGCAGTTTTTTTTCTTGTCGCTTGTGTGACTTTAAACAGCCTTTCTCAGAGGCAACAATGTTCACTCCAGGTAAATTAAAGATTAACTTGGTCCAAATAAGGTTCTGCTATGGACTGCTGTGTAAAGCTGTTTCAGCAGTAACTACAACGGTCTCTTTCTTCATTGTATTCATGCATTAAATTGATCAAAAGTGACATTGAAGACATTTATAATGTAACTGTTCATTAAACTTTATCAAAGAATCCAGAAAAAAAGTATCACCATTTCCACAGAAATCTAAAGAAGCATGACTGTTTTCAACAATGATAATAAATGTTTCTTGAGCATCAAATCTGTATATTAGAATGATTTCTGAAGGATCGTGTGACACTGAAGACTGAAGTAATTATGCTGAAAATTCAGCTTTGCCATTACAGGAATAATTTGCATTTTAAAACAGTCACATAGAAAAATGCTCTTAATGTTTTTGTAATTTTCACAATATTACTTTTTAAAATTGTATTTGGATTAAATAAGTGCAGCCTTGGTGAGCAAAAGAAACGTCTTTTAAAAGCATTAAAATCTTATTGTTTCAAACTTTTGGCAGGTACTGTATCTAGCATTTAAACTGTATATACATTGCAAGAATATTAACTTGTGAAATATCTACCTATATAATTGCCTGTTGAGCAGTGATGTGCTACTCTTCTTCAATATAAATGCTATTGTCTACTTCTGATGTACTAAGTTAAACTTAAACCTCTATGCTGCTTCCAGAGTGAGGAGTCAGGTGAACCAGACATCACAGACTGTCCCGTTGCTCTTGTCATGGTGGTCAACAGAGGCACAGCATGTCCGGTCCATTTAAATCCTGCAAGCACCGCTATCGTGGTTGAAGATGATGTTGTGATGAGTGGTATCCCCAGGTTTGCCGATGCATTTGTATTGTTGTTTGGGTTGATCTATGCATTGCATTTGGACTACCCCAAGAAACTCTCTCTTACTTTTAGCTTCATCCAGAAAGTACTGATGGGTCTTGATGATGGCAAACCACTGAAACCCTGCCTACTCAGTCTCAAAAATGATCTGTTAAAGGATGTGTAGGCCATGTTAAGACTTGTATGTAGGCACTTGTATGTGTCTGTGTTCATACATTTGCATGTTTGTGATGTCGAGTATAATAACTGGTTTGTTGTTTAAAGTATTTGAATGAAAGTTTACATTTTGTATATTATGTTTTGCCCTCCAAATCTACCTCAGTTTTTCATAGTTGCACTTTAAATAGTATAACTTGTTGATCTGAATCTTAAATTGAGATGTGCCTTTATGATAATAAATTATAGTATTTCTGGATGTTTTTGTAAGTCTTCAATGGGATAGACTTGATGTCCTTTTTTAATATTATATATGACCTATATCTTTTTTTGTTATAATTTATTATATTTTTTTCTTTTCTTTTCAATGTCACTTTCAGTTTGATGCATTTCTGTAAGAGATGTACTGTCAAACATATGTCCTGATTTCTTAATGAGTGACAAGGTTTTAAAAATTGTAAGGCTGAATAAATCAATTCTTTAGCTAATGTTGTATTTGTATTTTTTTTTATATGCTGAACTTCAGCCTGATCAATTCATTAGCCTATGAGTAATGCATAAGAGTTTGTGTGTGTTATAGAATTTCTATGAAATTAAGTATTTTTGCATCAAAATAATTGAGTCTGGATAAATGAAAAACATTACTTAGGGTAAACAGTACTTTTAAGTATAGTGTACTCAAATATTAAATAAAATTAAAGAGAAACTTTTAAAGGGGTCATATGATGCGATTTCAAGATTTCCTTTCTCTTTGGAGTGTTACAAATTGATTGTGCATAGATAAGATCTCTGAAGTTGCAAAGACTAAAGTCTCAAAACCAAAGAGATATACTTTATCAAAGTTAAGACTATGCCACGCCCCCCTAAAACGGCTCGTTCTAACACGCCCCCACATATCTACCTCACTATGTGGAAATATTTGCATAATGCCGCCCAAATGTGCACGCAAAGAAAGGCGGCGTGGTTTCAGTAACCGCAGTTAGTGTTGAAGCAGCATGTCAGGGAGACGCTGTGTGTTTCTAGGCGAAAGCAAAAGCACTTTATTTGGCCTTCCGAAAGTAGATGCATTTAGGAATCTTTAAGATTACTTACAACAGAACAGGAGAGAGAGAGAGAGAGAGAGAGAGACTTTGACTTTAAACAAATCTTTAATTACAAATTTTCCTTTAAAAAGTCACATAATTACATAAGATCTACACAAAATACCCACCATTACATAATAAAATAAACAACACCAAGTTTAAAACCAAACCAAATACATCTCAATAAAATACAATTAAACATAAATTTGCAAAGAACCATCAATGTCAGTTTCACACAAACACTTGTTCACCCCCCAATTATAGTTAAAAGTCTCGATATCTTTAACCAATTGATAATAAGCATATTCCACCTTTAACCTTGATTTTATTAAACCCTTTAAAATTGAAACTTCATCAGTTGACCCCATACCATTTAATTTACCTTTACGTGATAGCCAGATTGCCATTTTTGCCTGCCCAAACAAGAAGTTAATCATCACGTGGTTCTGCTTTTTATTTTTGTTATACTTAGGACCATAAATAAAAATTGCAGGTGAAAAAATTTCTCCTAAAATGCTACACCATTCTTCTAATTGAGATAGCAAAGCTTCAAGTCTACCACAGTAAAAAAATAGATGAAAAACCGTTTCTGTTTGCCCACAGAAAGGACACTCCTCCCCTACCTGTGGATCAAGGTGTGCTCTGTATCTGTTTGTAGCTATTAAACCATGCACAATTCTCCACTGAAGGTCCCCAGACCTTTTCTCAATGGGAGCCTTATACAAGGTCCTCCAGCTACCTTTAGGGGAAGTCTCTGATCCAAAAACCTCTTGCCATTTAGATTCTTTTAGTCCCTTTAAAGAGTTTATATGGGAAACTTTAACACATATGACATACAGTGCTTTTTTCCCAGTTTCACTGAAAAGTCCTAGTTCAGGAATTCTGAAGTTGAGCAAAAATCCTTCCCTCTCTTGAAAAGCATCAACAGCAGGCACAATTTTTAACTCTGGGAAAAAGACATCCCTATCTTCGTTTGTTTCCAAACCATTTTTAAAATTCATAGGTAAACATTCAAGAAGATCATTCAACAGTTTCTGTGTCAAGCGAATTGACCTCACACCCAGCTTAGCGGCCAGCATCTCAGCAGACATCCATTTATTTGTTGTTATTAAATGTCCAATCTTTGTAATTCCAGCATTCCTTAAAGCAGTCCTCATTGACGCTGACTTTAAAATGTCCAAATCCACAACGGGATTGTGCAACAGAGGTTCTTCTCTCATCCAAGGGCCTTGCACATCTTTGAGGTTTCTTGATTTACTTAAAATTTCCCAGGCTTTCAACATTGAATGATAAAAAGGTGTCAGTCCAGACAAATCAAGACTTTTAGTGTCCATAAGGAATAGGTGCCGGTCAAGCCCCATACTGCCCGCTTTTCTTAGAAGAGAACAAGCTACTCCAGCCCGGCTTACATCTTTTCCATAAAGTAGCCTTTTTGCCGTCTGTAGCCTAAACGTTTTTATTCTGCTATTAATGTCCACCAGTCCATGGCCCCC